CTCATGACTAGGAAGTATTTGCCGAATAGTCCTCCTCTGAACATGCCTCTGAATGTATTCCTGGAAAATTCCCTGACAGTCCTTGCCACCCCTANATTCCTGGAAAATTCCCTGACAGTCCTTGCCACCCCTAAAACCAGATAAACGGTCCCTTCATCTGTGACATTGGACAGGAAGGTCACTGTGTATTTACTTTGGCAACATCTACACTGGAGGTGGAAACCCAGTTAATTTGTCATTTATGAATATTATTGCACCTCCCACAGATGAGGACTCCTCCTGGGACTGAGATAGTACAGCGACCACTACAGTGTATCAGAATCACAGTATCTGGGAACCAGCCCATGATGAGTTAACAGAGACAGTCACCTGCTCAGCTGCAAAATCCAGCTGGGCAATCAGGGCTGTGGGCAGTGGGGAGGTGTGTGCTCTGTGACCAGCAGGGGGCGCTGTGGGACTGCCCTGTGGTCCCTGGGCAGCTGCTCATGGAGGAACATTCACTCCTAGGGGCCTGGGCCTGGAGGCTGGGCCCTGTGCTCACTGATGTGTTGTCTCAGCACGTGCTTCCTCCCAAGGCTCCCCAAGGGGTGAAATGAACCTGCAACCTTCTTACTCTGGGGTATGTGCTGAGCTGCAGCCCCAGGGCGCAGGGAGGGGCTGGCACTCAGGGGAGGGACTCACATTTGCATGGAATCCCCTCCTGTGGCAGAGGGTGGGGAAGAAAAGGAGGCCTGGGGAGCCCAGCCCCACTGTGGGCTCAGGGGCTGTGGGCACCATGGTCTGGACTCCTCTCCTCCTCGTGCTCCTCTCCCACTGCACAGGTCAGAAAGGGCCATGGGGACACTGGGCATCTCCAAACACCACAATACTCTTGCTCATAATACTTACTTGGATCCCTGACCCCTCACCTATGAGAGTCTCTGTTTGCAGGTTCGCTGTCCCAGCCTGTGCTGACTCAGCCGCCCTCTCTCTCTGTGTCTCCTGGAGCGACAGCCAGACTCACCTGCACCCTCAGCAGTGGCATTAATTTTGGCAGCTCCTACATATATTGGTACCAGCAGAAGCCAAGGAGCCCTCCCCGGTATCTCCTGTGGTATAAATCAGAGTCAGAGAAGCACCAGGGCGCCGGGGTCCCCAGCCGCTTCTCTGGATCGAAAGATGCCTCGGCCAATGCAGGGCTTCTGCTCATCTCTGGGCTGCAGCCTGAGGACGACGCTGACTATTACTGTGCGATCTGGTACAATAATGCTCCTCACAGTGACACACACAGATGGGGAAGTGGGACAAAAACCTCAAACTCAATTGTTGTGTTGGTTCACAATGAATGAACATTTTAAACTAACTTTTGTATGCAAACTATACTTGGAAGTACCTTCGGGTTTATAATGGGTCTATTTTCAATTTTTCATTCTGTTTCTTTTCTTTTTTTAAAAAAAAAATATCTTTATTGATTTCAGAGAGAGGAAAGGAGAGGGAGAAAGAGAAATAGAAACATCAATGATGAGAGAGTCATTGATCGAGCCCGAAACACGGGCATGTTCCCTGACTGGGAATCGAACCCCATCGCCTGGATCCTACGTCGACGCTCAACCGCTGAGCCACACCTGGCCGGGCTCATTCCATGTTTCTGAAGTCTCAGAAAAACAGAACCAATACAAAAATGAATGGGTCATTATGTCACTGTGCCTGTTTTCCATGGATAATAAAACCAGATCATGTGGGACTGCTGTGTTTCTTTTGAAATAAGGAAACAGCATTTAAAACATTTTTCAGAGCCCCGGGACCATCCCGGCAGGTGGCCCGTCCTCCACAGCAGGGACTCCGCTCTTCAGAGGTCAGAGCAGTGCCCTCCTCCTTCCTGCCAAGCCCCTGTGCTCCGGGCTGGCTGAAAAGCGGGTCACCCTGATGAGGCGCTGAGCTGGGAGGTCCTGGGTGGAGACTCGGGCCCGGGAGGAATTCCAGGCGCAGAGCTGGCCTTTACCTCTGCTGGGAGCCTGAGCCTTCAGTTAAATCAGGAGAGAGGGGTTGTCAAAGGGAAATTTGAGGTCTGCTGACAAGAAATCTTTGTGGGGGTCAGGATAGGGTGAGCAGGCTTGACGGTGGCTGGGACATGCTGAGCCTGCTCCAGGGAAGAAGGACAGTGAAATGGGTCCATGGATGAGACCTTCTTCCAGCTGACACCACTCAGGACCTAGGGGCTCCACTGGGTGGGACTTTCTGAGCCCACAGGCACTGACTGTCCTCTCCTGTCACACCCCATTGGGGCTCCCCCACCATCCAGGGCGTGGGGTGGGCTGTGGGGCATCAGGAACAGGAAGCTCCCAATCTGTGCCTGTGCCACTCCCTCTGTGAAGCTCTTGATGAGCCCAGATCCCAGGTCCCCTTCTCCTGAACTTGCTAACACATTGGTCTTTCCCATAACAAGGGTCACAATAGCGCCCAGGCAGAGCAGCTACCCTGCCTGTGACCTAGGACAAAGGCGGCTGACAGCAGGGGTCAGGCCTCCACATGGCTCCTGCTGTGAGCACAAGGCCTCTTTCACCACCTTTGATCTCTGGCCTGAGGAGGAGGCTGACTGTCACTGTCACAGGACCTAACAAACCCCCTGCCAGGGGCAACTGAGGGAAACATTTGCCGTCCTCTCTTCTGTGACCCATCTTGGCTTCTTCTGTCCCTTGTCATATAAACCAACACACCTAATGTTCTCACCATTGTCTATGTTTATAGGTTCAACAAAAATATCTCCCTTTCTTAGTGATTTCCTAATGCAAACAGAATCACCATGTACCCGTTTTCAAAAACAGAACTCAGAGTTCCTGGGGGCATGACAATGACAACAGGAGTCCTGCATCCCTGACCTGGTTTCCCCAGGGCCATTTCCTCCAAGCTAAGAACCAAGAGACTAGTAAGTTTTCGGAAATGTGATATTATCTGTCATTGTCATACTCAAGAAAAGATTTTCACAATATTTAAAATGAGATTGAGCTCTGCCGGCCGTGGCTCAGAGGTTCAGCATCTACCTAGGATCCAGGAGATCGAGGTTCGATTCATGGTCAAGGCACATGCTTGGGCTGCAGGCTCAATTCCCAATGACTCTCTCATCATTGATGTTTCTGTCTGTCTCTCTCTCCTTCTCCTTTCCTCTCTCTGAAATAAAGATTTATAAAAATTAAAAAAAAATGAGATTGAACAGTTTCTAATATTTATATTTCAAAATACGTTCTCTTAATCNAGGCTCAATTCCCAATGACTCTCTCATCATTGATGTTTCTGTCTGTCTCTCTCTCCTTCTCCTTTCCTCTCTCTGAAATAAAGATTTATAAAAATTAAAAAAAAATGAGATTGAACAGTTTCTAATATTTATATTTCAAAATACGTTCTCTTAATCAAAATCACTGACCTAATTTCTTTCTAAAATATAAAAATGCTATTCATTTTAAATCTACAATGATATTAATATTGGATGTAAAATCACAACCCAGTAAAATTCGCCCTGTTTGTAACCTATAAATAATGTTTAATAAAATGAGAAATGAGTTTATTTCCCTGCTGGTCATTACATATTTTTTTGTACTTTATCACTGTAGTTTCAGACATTCTCAAACATACGAACGCAGTCTAAAAGGGCTTTTGTGTTGTTAAATTTAGCAAACACTGGAGTGAGAAATAACAGACCCTGTGCACGGGGTTTTGAAGCAAGGAGAGGGGAAAGGGGAGCCCAGCACGTGCGGAGAGACCGTGTTTTGCGCGTGGTTCTGACAGACTCGCGGCTGAGAGTCTCCCCGGCTCCAGCCCCTCAGCGCTCGGGCCGCTCAGCGTCCGCCGGGCCCGGGCCGCGCGGGGGCTGCTGAGAGCACAGCCCGGCCCAGCTGCCTTAGAGCAGGAACAACGGGGGCATCAGAGTCAGGGCGCGGGGGCCCGCCCCGCCCTGCTGGCAGCGTGGGCAAGGGTCCCAGTGGGGACCTGAGTGCCCACCCGCAGTGAGCACAGCAGCTGCCCTGAGCCCTGGGCTTCCTTCCCTGAGGTCAGCGGGGCCCTGCAGGGGCTTGTCCCACA